GACTGGCAGAACAAGCGCATGATTCATTTCTTTCGATGGAGGCGTTCTGTCTGTGTATGCGAACATGATTTTTTTCCCCTTTTAGTAGTTAGTTGTTCTTGCCTTGACTCGGGTCCCAGTGGGTGCGTTGTCGTTGTATGCCCACTATTTTTTTTTTAGTTTATGGTAGTTTTTGCGCTGATGGGGTATCAAGGTAGACAAAAAGTAAAAAAAATAAAATAGCGCCTCGACAAAAAAAAAAAAAAAAAAAAAAAGTTTTTGCGATCAGGAACGTTTTTAAAGCCATTTTAGGAGCCTGCGGTGTTACCACAGGTGCAGGATTGAGAGCGTAACCCACGCACTTGAAGAGAAGGGGAAGCTCTCGTCTTATTGGAACTCTCTTTTATGGGTTTCGACGTCGCGATTGTCCTTCAAAATCAACTGTCATTTATTTCTCGCTCGTGGCTTTCAAGTACTGGAAGCCACGACTCGAGCCACAATAGTTTTGCGAAATCAAGGTTTCGCTGAAATGGATAACTCTCACGTACAGTTCGACGCGCAATACCTTTGCCGTATTGACTCGCGAGAGATGCCCCCAACACGGCTGAGTATGGCGGTGCTCCAGACCTAACATCTAAATTTTGTTGCCTTACCTGTTACTATTTCGCGCCCATTTTGAGCCATATCAAAATGAAAGCGCATGATGAAATAAAAGTCACACTCGTTTTCCGCTCGATGGAAATTTCACGCCAGCTCGCTGTCTTTGCTGGTACCTTGAGCGTTTCCCAGCAATACGGAGAGTTAAAAAAAACAAAAAAGAAAAAAAAAACACGTACGATGGCATCCTTTGCGGGATGAGGACGATTCGTCACATGCGCATTCGTCACAGGACGATTGGTCACAGGATGATTCGTCACATAGGAACATTTGTCACAGGATGACTCGTCATGCGGGCAACTGGTCTCATTGATCGAGCAGGGGACGATAGTAAATTGTAAATTTCAACATCTGCCCACATACCCTGATGAGGAGTTTCACAATTTTCCACTGTCACGTAAACCAATGGTTATATAAACTAATATTACAATACTCATCCGCTTTTCCTTTCATTATATTACGGGTCTTCAGCAGGTTGATCTCAGTTGCAGGCTTGAACGAGCAATAATCCGACTGGCAGCCAAATTAGTTTTTAGTTTTGCCTTGCATACACCTATTCGACAAAACCAACAAGTATCGGAATTCCTTCTGCCGAATGTGTACGAGTACCCCTCGTGCAGCATCATGGCTCTCTCTGTTGCGATCACCTCCATCCTTTTGAATGTAGTTCAAAAATAGTCGCTCTTCTATGGCCTCCGCATTCACCGTTCAGGACGGACCCAGATAGCTAGAACGTCTGTTACAAATTCTTTGACCTCGAGAAGCGAAAGACATGCTAAGATAAGAGGTGACCGACTTTCTGAGGCCCAACCAACATTCAATGTTCGAGACCGAATCAGAAGCTAAAACGTTCCTTACAAATTCTTCGCCTTTGTCCGCCCGAACCAAATTGAACAATACATTTTTGGGGGGACGAACTATTGTGAGACCGGTTGGCCGCGTGACGAGTCATCCTATGACGAATGTTCCTGTGTGACGAATCGTCCTGTGACCAATCGTCCTGTGACGAGTGTGCATGTGACGAATGGACCGTATCCCATCCTTTGCACACTCATTACTTCTATAACACTGAGCCACCTCGTATCCTTTTGTTTTTCTTTCATGGTACTAATTTCTTTCTGCGCATTACGGCTGTTACGATGCTAAGTCTGTCTGCCCTTCGAATTTAAACTTAGGCTCAGATCAGGGACGAACCAGTTTAAATCAGGAAAATATAATTAACACTGTAGCAAAGTAAATCTATCATATCGAACGGAAATACGATTTGGCACATTCCATCTGAACACATATTGTGCACAGTGAATGCAATAGCGAGTCAGCGTGCAAAACGCCGCCACACTGAGCTACCATAACATCTCGGCGATTTTTGCATAGCACCGAGCACGGAAAAGAGAAAACAGTTATTCATTCACATAAACGAAGCAAATTTATTTAAAGCCCGGACACTCCGTACGTCCAATCTAGCTAAGGTTATCAATAGACTCGACCATGTCATTTGTCGAAACAGATTAAAGACGTTGGCAAAAATTATTAGACTGAATAAGTGAATCTAACGCACGTATTTTACCAACCGACGGTCGCGCGCCTTCAATACCCTTTCCAATTGTCATTGCGCACCTTGGACACACTTTGGGAAGCAATGCATATTTACATCGCCGCCCGAGGTCTCCATTAAACGCGTAGTGCTGACCCAAATAAAATGCTAACCTGACTCTCAATCGCTCACCGCAAAGGACGATTTCGAACAGGCGGTACTGTAGGTCACTTGAGATAAAAAAAAGAAAAGAAAAACAAGCTATAGAAACGAGCGTCGTAAAAAAGGGGACCGGCATTTTTATTCCTACCTCCGAACAGAAACGAGCGCCACCCACTGCATCACACAGCGCAGAGGCCGGACTCGGTCACCGCGCGTACATACCAAGCGCGCGCGAGGGGTGCAGAAACTTCCTCCGCCGGGAGAACACGGCAGAGTTCAGGATCTATTTCACGCAGCGGATAACGCGGGCCTTTTCACACCTCGATACTGGCGCCATCTAGAAGTTGCGCGTTCAACCACGTTTCGAGCCGCGCGCCATCTGGTGGCTGAAACGGACGAATAAATAGAGGTACCGCGCCCTCTTAAAATGCTGACAACTCGCCACAAAAGTAATAATAAAATGTGCTTCAAATGTGATGAAGACGAGCATTTCCAAGTTATACCCTTGCTTTATGCCCTGACCATGCCACCATACCATAGCTGAGTGCAGCGACAAATGGTCCCAGGTGCTGTGACCCGACCGTATATAGCCTTATGGTGTGGCGCGACTCATGCAGCCCCTATGCTTGATGATGGAGCCAGTGTGCAAGGTGCGACCTGCTTGAGCTGTGCAAGCCACAGCTTTACAGCCTGCAAACGGTGGGAAGATGCCCCTCCCTTTGCAGAGCTTGCAATAGCTCAGCAAGAAGCTATTGCAAGCACTAGGGAGCCACAGTGTGTGCATAAAAGCACTTCTGAATGTGAATTAGTGTGTAAATTATGCGTCTATACGTTAAAACTTAAAAAAAGTATTATTTATAAATATAAATATATATATATATACTGAAAACGACTCAATTTTCGCGAGGACCTAATTTTTGTGGATTTCGCGATTTGCCTACAAACGCGGAAACTACGTCCCGCGAACAACTCGGGCAATATGCGAACACTACGGAAGCTACGCTCGATTCGCGAAAATCAGAACCCGCGAATAATTTCAAATTTTAAGCTTCGGCCCGATTCGCAAAAATTTGAGCCCGCGAAAATTAAGTCGTTAACAGTATACTAAAAAGAAGGCAAAAAGAAAAGAAACGTCTCCAGGTGGGTTTGAACCCAGAGCTCCACTGCCCTTGATTTCAGTTCCCTAAGGCCCGCTTCAGACGGTGCAACCTTTCTAGCAATTTTGAGGTTGCTGGCAGGTTGTTCCCTAGGTTTTCCCAGATCAGCACGAATTTCTGAGATCAGGTTCGGCTCAAAACAGACAAGCAACTCGAACAAACTGGAGAAGTTTGAAGCAGCAGCAGCCAATCAGGGACGCAATATTTTCACGTGACACCCCTGTGGTGGTGAGGATGACAGCTGAGGACTTGGTCCTGGTTTGAAATGGATCGTTTTTGGAAATAAACTTTTTCAGAAACATGAGTATTCTCAACGGCACTCAAAGATATAAAAACATGTTTTTAGCACGTAGTTGTGCGTCTATATAGTGCAAGAAAAATCAAATTTCATGATGATGATGGCAAGTCGTAGGAATTCGGTTGCAGCGTGTGAACGCAGGCGGCCCGTGTTGCTGGTGTTGCGACGTTAAGTTGCTGGGGTAAATTGCCCCGTCTGAAGTGGGCCTTAGGCTCGCTTCCACCGTTCATGCTCAGCGAGCAAGCCCGCTTTAATCGTTCACACTTCAAGGCAAGCTGGACAGCTACAAGCCACCTAAATGTCTACCACCGCATCCCCGGCCAGGTCGTGACGCGACATAACTTATTAAAAGTCTTGCTGTCACTGCCACGACCGGCCAGAGTGAAGTCGAGAAAGAATCACATAAATCATTTCGTAGCTTTCTTGGAACGACCCCCCTCAAGGGAGAGTCGTCCCTCCGCCCTTCGATTGGTGGACTGACGCGAAGCCACTAGCCGTCTTGGCCCAGCAGTTACAAATCATAGTGCTCATTAACTCGCCTGCCAGCGTTCCCGGTGCCAACCGCAATTTCCTCCAGTTTACCCGACACCCGCTGATAATCTCGTCTGCCAGTGTTCCCGGTGTCAACTGCCATTTCCTCAATTTTCCAAACACCCACTGACAAAAACCCATCTGCACTCCAGGCCTCGACAAGCGCTTACTTGCCTACCGCATCACCCCAAGCCTAAATCCTAAATCTGCAATGAGTCCTGGCTGTTTCCCTTCCTGCCACTCGTTATCCTGCCTTCCAGCAAACATGCCGTTACTCTCCTCTGCCTCTGAAGACGACTTTCTTACATCTTAAACGCGCTCCCCGTCTCCTGCCAACCACTATGTTGGGGTACCCGAGAAAGCGGGTCTGCAACCTCGTTCTTCGAGCCCTTTAGGCACTCGATTCGAGGAGACACCTGCTGAACTCTGCCGTGAGACAAGTCGCCAAAATTCCAACATATATGTATCAACGGGCATCGCTGGCGTTAGTGAACAACCCGCTCAACGAATCCGTGAGACTCCCTGGGGACGACTAGAAGCAGAGGCATACCGAACGAGCCCCACGTTGGATGTGCCATTTTAAGGTTGGTTTCTTTATGGAGTTCGCTTAGCTACTAAGAATCACCGCCCAATCGGTATCCGCTCCGCCCGAACAAGAAGACAGCGAATAAGTTGACTGTACCTCACGGTTGCCCGTCGTTCAGAGCCAGCAGTCCAGGCACGCCGACACTTGTTGTCGCCCGTCGAACAGAGCTCACAGTCGGAGTCAGTGTCCAAACTTGCGGATCGTCCTTGCTACGCCAGCGCTGCGTAGGCTGGTTGTCCCGGGCTATCACTGCCCGAGTCTCGCTGTGGAACCACCCTGGAATCGTCGTGGCCTAGGCTAGATGGCCAGGACTCGCCGTTTCTACCGGTCCGGACTTCGAACCTCGCTGGTGGACCGCTCCGGGGTTCGGCATAGGCCAGGCCGGGCAGCCCGGCTCCGATGTTCCTGCCCAGCTCCAGCCTCGCTCAGCACGCACTGTCTCGCGCCAGCTCGTGACTTCTCCGCCGACCAACTGTCACATGCCCTCTGCCTCGTCTTTCACCCTTGGCTCCCACAAAGATAAGGAAAGGGAATATACCATTATGTTCAGTGACGTTCGCTGAGAAGACCCGGGACTCGAGCAGGAATGCCGTCATCCTTGGTGTGACCCTATGAGACTCTCTTGCTACCTTTGCTGGGGCTTATCTAACTGAAGTACTTGTCTGAAAAGTAGAAGAAACATATGTGCATAACACTCATTATTCACAAGAAAATTTGTCAACATCCAAAATGACCCGTGGAGAAAATTATGCGAGGAATTTGTCGGCCACGTTCGCCGAGTCACCTCTAGTGGCCAATGTTTCATTGCAACTTTAATTGTAGTAAACAGTCATAGGGTATATTACAAAGTGCAATTTGGTTTTGTACGAACCTACAACACACAAAACAGCACTCTAATACAGTATGTAGAGGTACCTCTAAACAAATTCCAGGGTTTCATGGAGCCTCCTCCAGATAACTGATGTTGAACATAAAATATGTGCACCAAGGAGTGAGCAAACAGTGACTTCCAATTAGTATCAAGCACCAGCGACATGTCGACAAGGAGTGCAATGTGTAGAGTGTCGTCTAGAAGTGTGCAGCCAAAATGAAAAGGCGAGATATAACGATGTCAGAATAAGATCACACCAAAAAGGTTCCGTTACAATCTAGGCAGAGTAATGAGTCAACCGACGTACAGCCGCGATTCACTTTGCGTTGAGGTGAAACATGGCCAACAAAATATAAAAAAGCGCTTTTTTTTTCTGTACATTAATTGCTTTGCACCGTTGATAGGACAGTTGGGCGGCGTCACAAAGTCACTCGCTCGCGTTTTTCAAATTCGTTCATCGGCACTCATGGTCTACCCGGGAGGAGAAAAGTACGAGCTCAGAGCCGAGCCGCCGAGCGTCGATTGCGACTTTTCCTAAAAAGAAGCTCCGGTAACACTTCGGCGACTCGTCAGCTTCAAACAACGCCTCTTCGAACTAAGGCCTTACTTCGAACGAGCCTAACGCGCCCGCGAATTCAATGCGGCGAACGGTCGCGGCAGAATGCACGCCGGGAGGAAGGGGGCTGGAGGCTGAGTATCCGAAAGAGATACGGCGCTGGTTTCTACGTCTATTTCGCACATGAGATAACAAACTGGCAAAGCTAGCCGAGTGTGAACAGTGACTGACGTTACGTTAGAGCACACGCAGTCGAGATGGCGCCTGCAACAGAGCACAGCTAGAGGCTTTCAACAGCTAGGGATACATGCGTTTAAAAAGGCCGCGATTTAAAAAACTTCACGTCTCCTTTCTATCCTTCGGTGTTTACTGTGATCCGCGTACACCAAAGCACTCAATGCTGCAAGTAATAGAGTCGTGTATACGTACCTTTCGAAGCAATTGAAAGTGTGCAGGTTTCGCTCGATGCCCACGAACACAGAGTGCAACGAACGCCAATTGAGGAGTTTCAGCGACGGTGCCACCGCCCTGGCGGCCGGTCGCCGAAAGAGAACGAGGGGGATAGGTTCGCTGGGCGTCGGCTTAGTGTAAATGCGTTGGCCGCGAACGTAGGCTTATAAACTTCGGCAGCAAGAATATTACGCAGCTCTAGTGTTTCGGTACGAGCAACAGAGGTGACACGACCTGCTACGACTATCTACGACCACCCGCCGCAGCGATGCAGGCGTCGAAGGAGCGCAACCTGTGTACTGTACTACGCAGTCAGTCGCCGTCGCCCGACGCAGGTCGTTTTGGCATCGAGGGCTTTCCTCCCCGGGCTCTTCGCATCTACTTGGAACCGAGTTTTATTTCCTGTGCTTGTGTATGTGCTCAGTGGGTGGGTATGGACCTCATAGAGCAGTTCTGCAGACTCAACAGCGACTCAAAGTTGACGGCGGAGGGGCTTGCAGCAACGCTTTCGGTTGGTGCACGGGTGCGACGACTACACGGATAAATTTTAAGATTGCTGCTAGCAAGGTGGGCCATAGTCGCTTTATGTTGACACGATTTTGAGTGTAAGTACTCCGTGCAAAGGCGAATCTATCGCCTTTCTAATCCACCTTTGCTTTCGTTGTTTTTCACAGGCACGACCGACTGCTAAGCAAATGCTCCTGTACCGATCACGGAGTGAATGTCTTCGGCCTTACATTGCGCAACGCCCAATAAAAAGTCATTCGTTCAGCGAGAAAACTTTCCTTCGAGTGACCTTCTTTGATTGATAATTTATCCCAATCAACACAATCGATTAAGTTTGCTTCCCTAGTTAGGACATTTTTGTGCCACATGCGGCACTAATGTTTGGCACGATGTATGCCACTGGTGGTATTGTGAATTGGTTTACTTCCAAAGCTGACAGTGTGACAGGTGGGACCATTCAATTTGCTAAAAATGTGATGATATGGGAATTTCATTGCATAACTAGCGTTTTACGTTTAAGATTGATAAGAAACATGCTCATGAGATGATGCATGCCTACAGCATAAGCTTTGCAGATCCAGAATGGATGTGCTATAGGCTACAGCCTCAAGATGTTTAATGGACCAAATTGGTGATTACACGGCAATAAATATTGTGGTGGAAAAGTGCCCATTGCCTCGGTGAGTTTTGATCGTGACCATTGGTGTGCTGTTGGCAAATTGGGTAATGGCAGACCTTTTCCCTGACCATCTGGCTTCAAGGGACATTGCATCTAGATGTGCTTAAATATCTTTATTTCAAGGTTCAATGGACCCCTCTGCATCATTACAGGAAGGCAGTCTCAAGCCACAACAAACCAGTGAATATACAATGCATAATAACAGGCACCAGTGTCCAGGCGTATAGTCCGCAGAAGCCAATTGGAGCCTAAAAGTGTTTGTTTTGTTTAGATAGTTTGCATTTGGTGTATAATCCGCAGGGCCCGATTTCTGCGCCCAGTGCATAGTCCGCCAAGCTGGTGCGTTGCGTCTTCGTGCTTTTTTTCTGGGTGATATTTTCTTCAGAAGTTCTTTGGCGAACGCTATTGAGCCTGAATAACTGCTCTTGAGGCCCATATCCAGCCACTGAGCTCACACAAGCACAGAAAATAACACTCGGTGCCAAGTACAAACGGAGCACCTGGGCGGAAAGCCGTGAATGCCAAACGAGCAGCGTCGAGTGACGGCGACTGACTGCGTTGCGCCCCCTCGACGACTGCATCGCTGCGGTGGGTGGTCGTAGCTAGTCGTAGCGAGATGATCTTCACTTCAAGCAAGAAATCTTGCCATACCATAGTCAAGATATGTGTGCAAGTGTTCGATGACGTGGGCGCTCTCACTTTGGTGCAGTTGTCATCAAGAAAGGTACATATCAGCAATGTTGCGTGTTTGAGGCTGAATTCACTATGACGCATACTTATCTAAACCTAAATTTATCGGTCTGCGGCTACAAACATTTTCGTTGACGTTGCTTAGATAACGTAACCGTTCAGGCCTCGCAATAAATGAAGTTGCGAACTCTTCGGTTGTGTATGAAAACCTATTTTTGCCCTAATAAAAGACATTTTCAAAAGGACACGTGTCTTGTGCTGATACATATCTTCCAATTTACAATGCTGAGGCAAACAGAAAATCAACTGCGTACATCTACCTCCTAGCCTAAGCACCTTTTGCCATTCATTTTTGAGCACACTCAAATATCGGCTTAGGTTGCTATTGTTTTAGAAGCTTTGCCCTGTTCTGAAAAAAGAAAACAGTTAAAAAGCTTTACCTTCGTTCTCCTTCTCGCATTTAATACAGACTTGTTTGTCAGCAGATCACACACACAGCAGATATCACCGTGGCACATACAACTCGAATCACAGATGAGACTATTGCTATTACAATAAAGCTTTCCACAAGAGCCAAAACGAGACTTGTAAGGGTGCACAAGCACATCGAAATGAGATTGGCGCTTCCGGGGCTTGTTTACATAATGCGTAAAAAACAGGACGATCGGCGACCAGCTGATCGCAATATAACACCAAGGATACCGATGTTTCGATACATAGAACGCAGGATCAAGACCTCAATCGTCCCTTGTATGCTGTAGTCGTCATACTTCCCATCCAACCGCTTTTTAGCACAAGTAACTAGAACAACCGAAGATTTCGCAACACCTTTTAATGCGAGGCCTGAATGGTTACATCATCTAAGCAACGTCAACGAAAATGTTTGTCGCCGCAGACCGATAAGTTTAGTCTTAGATAAAGTACGCGTAATAGTTTCAACGCGCGAACATTGTTGATATGTACCTTTCTTTGGACCCGCGTACATTCGGTTCAACTTGATGACAGCTGCACCAGCGTGAGAGCTCACGTCGAACACTTGCACACATATCTTGACTATGGCAAAATTTCTTGCCTTCGACTGGCTTGAACACTCCATCTGTAGCATCACGGTACGTCTTGGTTGAAACGATGATCGTCTCGCACACGGCAACAAACGGAGAACGACACGCATTGTTTTATTTATACTGTTTATACGCTACCGGTCTACGGGCGTCGCAAAACTATCCAACTCTTGTCCGCCATGTTGAATCGATCGGAGCGCCCCCTATATTCGCTGAAACTCCTCAATCACGCCGGCAGCGCAACGGCACCGGCTGGCCGGGTCGCCCGGTCGCGCAACCGACGCCCGCCCGCTGCGCACTGCGCATGCGCG